CCCCTGACCGGCTGCTCCTGCGGAGAGCGCACACCTGGACCCCCCCTCCGCAACCACTCCCACCCGCGTGTAGCCGCGCATTACACATAATGAATGCACAAGGCGACCGATAAAAATTCCTCGCCACAGCGCTGCGATAATGTAATGGAGTAACAGTTGCATCGGAAAATTAAAAACAGAATTGTTATAAGCTCTTTTGATATTATATGTTACGTTGTCACTTATTTTGAAGTACAAATTGCATTAAATGGCAACGGAAAGTAATAAGTTTCTGCGAAACGTACGACGGTAACATATTGTACGATCGTTTAATGCTAAGAAGATGACTGGAACGTTTTCAGTAAGGCAGATTTCTTGCTCGCGAGGTTGTTTCAAGTACAGTGACAAGCTGAAACAAATTGTCAATTTAATCCTCACGCTATCCAATCGCCCGGATAGATGAAAGTAACTACGTTGCTGTCACTACGGAAATGGCACTATCTTTTTACTAACACCCTAGTGCAGTAATCTTCCTTTCACACGTGCATGGCCAAACGGTCCTACGTCAGATTCCTTTTCCGAAGGTCTACTCAGCAATTGGTTCGTTCGCACCGCAGGTGTAGTGTTGTAATTCTCAGGACAGAACGTGTGCACGAGAGCTGGTCGCATTTGCCGCAGCAGTGGTAACCGATCGCCGCGCCCATCTGGTCGGGCGGTCGATCGCGCCCGTCGATACGAAGCGCGATCCATCGGTCGATACAAGCCCCGATCCTCCCACTGCTCGCGGTGGTTGGCGGCGTTCCAGCCTCCGCAGCCCCGGTTCCGCTTCGCCGTCGCGCCGCTCGCCACGCAAAACGAACAATCCGCGTGATTCGAAACGAATTTGCATTTGTTGATTTGTAGTTATTTATAACGTGTTTGTTTTAGATGTGGAATTTCTAGCTTTACTATAAAAAAACAACTAGAAAAAATGTATTTGTGCATGTGCGTCTTAGGTTTCTGTGTGGGAGGAAGTCTGAAGATCCAATAGTCTTCCCCTCTCTGCGTGAGAGCACCACTGCGTATGTATAATAACCTAATAAATATTTATTATGTTAATTTTTGTAAATCATTGAAAATGCAGTTTGGTTACAGAAGTAAATGTAACGGAACTGCTAAATATTTCAATCCTCAGAACAAAGTAATTACCGATTGCACTTTACATTGGTTGGACATCATTTTAATGTCAATTGTAATGGGAAGTATAGCAATTCTATATTTACGAATCAAGAAAGTAAAATAAGTTCTGATTACTGTATAATTTTGGATGCATGTCCAATTGAGTTAATTGTATATGAGAAAACTGTTTATGAATAAGCTCTCAATGGTGAGAAAGAACTTTGAAAAATTACTTATCTCATTTAAAATGTTTAAATAAGGTTTCTCAGATTTCCGAAGAAATATTTTATTTGTTCGAGGAACTGCAATTGACTGGAGGACTTTTGAAAAATTAGCACTATGAGCCTGTAATCCGGACAATTTTAATTATTGTCAGATTCAAGAATAAAAAAAAATCCACAAAATGCATTAACTACGCAGTCATTATGATATTTATACAAATGTAAGGCACATAATATTAGGAGTAGATCGTTGTCAAAACAATCGAAATACGATGAATTAAATGCGTTCCTTCGGTAAACTGTACACTATTCCATCTCCAGAAATCTAAATCACTTCTCGCGAGATCTGTCTGAGTCGAGGTCCAGATCCGAGAAGGGCTGCTTAATTATCATAACTGGTGGTCGACTACCAAGTTGTTGCCAAGGGCAGCGACTTCATTCTATTATTGCCTGGACATAATTGCTGATCCCGTTTTCTCGTGCTATAATTATTACAGAATCCGCTTTGGATCGTTCAGGAAGCTTCAGTGTACGCACAAAAGAATTCGACATGCAATACAATGAATTTCAAGAAACCAAAGAAAAAAGAAACAAAGCAAAACACATCTACGCTACAGTATTTTCGTAGAAAATAACGGACACATGGAGTTAACTTCTTTATCAATCTTCAAAATACAGGGGGCGACAGAATGCAAGAAGTACAAAGCACGATGACGACGAATACGAAAGTGCTATGATAAAAATTATGGAATCTACAATTAAAGAAATACAAAACAAGAGAAGAACATTTATTGGCAATATTAAGCACACATTTAAATCGTAAGATGAGTTTAAAATTAAAATCTCGTGAAAAGCATGCACAAATGCGTTAGACAAATAGTTTCTTGATAAGTTTTTTTCGTTCTTTTTTTTAGCTTTAAAACAAGGGGTTGCAGTTTATACGAATCTACAAAAGAAAAATCAATTTCCGCTTGTGAATATAAAAGTGGAATTTAGTAGAGAACATATTCTCGAATGCCCATGATTTTTCGCAATTCCCGAGTAAATTAATCTTCTTTAGATGTACTATCCGTATAACCCATATGTAGTTGGAGTTTGTCCATCACTACTTATGAACATTATGTTTTTTTTATTCTCATTTTCTATGTTTGTTATTAAATTTTGCCATTACTGCATTCTCATTGTATACAGTATAAACTAAATAAACACAATGTATTTAATTTTAGATATTCTATTTTGAGCATATCCTAGACAATTTAAAAGACAATTATTAACCCGCGACAACAATACACGTGCTTTATTCAGTAGGACTCAGATTGACAAAATTAAACAAAAATATTATTTTAAAGATTAATTTGGAATGTTTGGCAGTTCAGCAAAAAAAGTGGCAAGAAAATGAAAACAATTTTATAAATATCTAGATTTAAAGCTGAGACTGCGTTCCGGGGGAGGGGAGGCAAAGCTACGAATTAAATATGATTTCAGCGAGGAGTTCCTTCGGAAACCACGCGCATGCGCCGCCGCTGCAGCGTCGCTCTACACTTCTACGCTCCCCGCGGCTTTTACAGGCCGTAAACCGGCCGACTCGGGCGCAGCGGACCCGACACCCGGTTAATATCAATACACAGCCGAAATAATCCTCGGTAATTATTGGAAGTTTTAACGGAAATTAACCATTACTTTAAACGCGGGCCAAATTACCCGGGCACGGCAGAGCGCAGCGGCGGCGACGACCTGGGCCGGCATCGGCCGCAGCGGCAGCGGCGGCGGCGGCGGCATCAGTGGCAGCAACGTCGTTCTCATTTTTTTTCGGATGCCTGGTGCTTAAAATTCTGCCCGGCCGGTCGCCGCCGCCGCCGCCGCCGCCGCCGCCGCCGCGCGCAGTGCAAGACTAACAAGCTGTAGTGAGGTGGAGCCCTCGCTTTGTTTCTTCGCAGAAGGTATTTTGTTGCTGTAAAGAGTTATGGTGTCGTTGGACAAGACTTGTTCTCGACATAGGTTTCATAAAAACTGCGGAGCGCTCTTCTGTTTTTCGTGTTAAGTTGTTGAAAAAGGTGCTCGGGCCGGGCGGGCCGGGCGGTTGGACGGGCGGGTGGACGGGCGGGTGGACGGGCGGGAGTGTGGACGGATGGGTGGGCAGATGGGCGTGAAGAGGGGAGAAGGCGAGGCCGAGAAGTGTGTCGGGTTGCGAACTGGGTACTTGAAAAACAGCGGCAACTGAGCCTTGGAAACGGCGGCAAAAGAAAAGGCTTTTGAGAAAGCAGTTTTGGCACAGTGTTAACCGTAGTTTTACAAAGCTTGCGAGTCAAAATTTATCCTCAATACGCAATAAACGTCAAAGAAAATATGGAATTTAAACCTCGAATGTTAGCCGCTTTTCACGTTGTTGTAAGTTCCTATTTACCTTTTAAACACTCATTATTGCAAATAGAAAACTTAAAAAAACTTACTTCAAGGGGAATTTTTTCATATTTTTTTACTAGAACTCACCTAGTGCCTGGATACCCCAAGTGCAGAGATATCGATATTTTGTAATATGTACCACATCAAGATCACGACCGCATTTTTTATGTAAGCAATAACAATACTACTCAATGTTTCAAAATTCACCATGTCAGCAATCAGTCAACATCACACTCTTCGATGCCATAGTCCACATAAGAACTTAAAGGTGTGGGAGAGACCCCTCTTTAGTTGTAGTGAGAAGAGGAGCTGAGTGCCCCAACCACAGATAATAGCTCTTAAAGCGATTTAATATAAAAAAGACATCTAAAAACCATGAGATCATTAATAATTACACACGCAGCATTCTTGTTCTTTCATTCCTCTTTTAGCATGGTTACAAAAGTGTATTTGTAACTTTATAAAAATCTCACTAGTACTAACAATAATTAAAAAAGCGATTTATGACAAGGCACGCGAAACACAGAAGTCGGAAACTGGTTGCAACGTGAATGTTTCACGTTTATACACCTACCGGAATAATTTAACGACCTCCTACTCAAATTTACAGGGAGGGCCACGGAGGGTCCGACCAGTTTATCACTTGAAAAATAATTATAAATGAAATGTGTAAATACATGAAATATGTTTGAATGAGTTAAATCAAGTGTGGACAAAAATAAAAGTTTCGTATAACTGTACGATACCTCACTTCGTGATTACGTGAAGTTTCATACAAGTTCAAAATTTGAACTTTATGACAGCAGAAGTCTGGAGAGATTAAATAAACCGTTGTTCAATACATGTCATTGTCATGCATTTGCGAATGATGCAACTTCTTCAGTAAATTAAAAAAAATAATTTCATATATTTCATATTAGTTTAAGATTAGATGTACAAATTTTTGTGGAAAAGCACTATTTTAAAAATTGTAATCACACTATTATTGGTTCTGTTTTTAATATATTATTTTACAACTAATTTGAAACATCGTAAAACTGAGGCCGAGCAGAGCTAACCAAACAGTACCCTTTAAAGACGTAGCTGTCCCAAAAGAATTTGCGAGATTATTTAAACGCACACTCTTATCATTTGGTTGTCTTGTATCTGAAAATTGCGACAATACCAAGAATGCGAGCGGCAAGATTTATCTATTAGTCGAAGTCACGGGTTCTTGAGTGAAATCTAAGCTGCATGCAAATGAGCAATTTCCAGCATTCCCCATCGCCAACAACAGCACACACTCAAACGCCTATTCAAACCTGTCGCCCAAGACAGCACCATTCACGAGTTTCGTCGTCTTCACATGGTTTGCGGCTTCTGTCGGACCGTCCGTGCTCCGCATTCTATTACTTGAAGAATGCAACCACTGTAAACAAGGGCCCCGTACGTCACGACCCCGTGACGTTGACGTCATCAGCACATGTCCAACAGCTCAAAACTCAAAGCGGCGACGTTTTCGCCGACGGAACCAGATACAAGAGCACGGCGACCGACGCCTGCAGCACATCTTGCTCACGTGCGATGCACTCGCGTAAGAGACAGTTCAGTGTACATGACGGCAGGCGGTCCTCGTGGATGACCCCCCCGGGGGGAGGGGCAGAGGCCGGATGCCCGGAAGCTATGTACAATAGGAAAGCCAGCAGGCGCGGGGCGGCGAAGGGAGGGGCAGGGCGGACGGGGCGGGGCGGGCGGAGCGCGCGCGCTGGGACGGAGCAACGCGGACGGAACGGCGTCGTGGTGGCAGCGTTTTCTTAGGCCGCGTTGGCCGAGCAATCACCGCGAAAAGACACTGTCATTCCCTCCCGGCAAAAAAATGAAAGAGACGGGAAATGCACAAAAGACGTCACCCGCAGACGAATGGGTGCGCGCACAATTTCTCGGACAAAATTGTCCTACAAATTACTACCAAATTGCGTTTATCGGTTTAACAAAAAACGTAGAAAATGTGTGAAGACAAGAATAAATACGTTGTCGTAACACTTGTTCCAAATTTCGAAATTGCGAGCTAGTTCTCGGTGTGGGGACCCGCCCTTTTGTCTTGCGCCGGTCGTGCGCCGGTCTGCGCTGCGAAGTCTGCCGTCGAGCGAAGAGAAGGAGAGGCCTCTGTTCAATCGCGTCAGCCTCCGCGCGCGACTCGACTCGACTCGCAGGCGAAATTGCAGCCACCTGCGCGGGCGGGCGGCGGGGGCGGCGGAGGCGGCGGGGGCGGCCCATTTCCTCCGTGATACAGGAGTTTCGCGGAACCAAAGGCCCCGTGATGGATCCGCCTCGCCGAGCGTGTTCAAATAAAGCACGCCGGCCTTGGGGCGAAATTTGGATTGCACGGTTCTCTCGTTAAAAAGGCGTTCGCGCAGGCGGCGGCGGAATACTCAGAGGGGCAGGGCGACTTGCCGCCCCCGCCAGAGCCCGCGCCGCTGGGTGCGCGGCCTGGCCTTGTCGCGGCACTGAGCGCTGATTGGCGAACAAAGCGGAGGCTCAGTCCTTTGAGCATCTGAATGATGCGAAATGCGAAATGTCAGACGTTCTATGGGGAAAAAGATCTTAGGTCGATCGATTTTTTTTATTTGGTAGTTTTTGAAAAAAAATGTTTCCCGCAATAAAAATTGAATTATATGTTACTTATAATACTTCAATTCTGAGGAAAGCTGGATGAGGAACTCTCGCTTAATATATGGTTTATGCTAGACGTAATGGAAGAAATATAATTAAAAAAAATATTTTCTCTAACGTCTGCCAAAACGAATATCAAACTCAAATTTGCATTGTCCGAAATCGTTTGCAGTCTTACTAATTGGAACTATCACTAAGAACAGCAACGGGTACACACGTTTCTGATGTATTACGATAAGTCTGCATTATTCCCAGTCACATAATGACACTCTTATAGAATATCAAAAATAGACTGACATTTACAGTTTTTTGTGTCGTCGTGTATAAAGCAACGTGGTATCCAGACAAAAGGAACTACTTTTAAAGACTCTTGTGATAAAGAGTCTTACCTCTAGTATAGATAGGGGGCCATCGTATGTCTTCCCTTTGTGAAGATAGCTCACGAGAGCACGAATTGAAACACGCCCAGACATTATATCCGAAAACGCTGCCACAAAGACGCTTCACATTAAGGGCCCGACATACGGCAATGAGCTACATGTAATGCCGAAAAAAGCTTTCGGGATTATAAGAACATCTGTCGCTCCACAAATACACGATTTACACATTTCTGCTCCATATCGTCCCAGCGCCGAATGCGAAATGCGAAAAGCAATGGGTCATCACCGAATTACATTTATGAAAATGTTGCATTACAGTCCCTGCGACGCTGCCTTTCCGGCACACCTTGACCTGGACCATGCCCTCGCCCTGCTCGACCGCCGCCCGTCCGCCCTCACCCACGCAAGCGCATGCGCACTCGGTAGGCCGGCGCTCCTAGTGAGGACCCCCGCGGTCGGGCGGCCCGCCCACGCCCTCGCGCCGCCTCCACGCATCTCATTTGCTTCATCTCTGTGTGTGCGTCTCGCCAGCGGGGCGGCGGCGGCCCGGCCGGCTGCAGCCCGGCGGGCTGCGGCCCGGGCGGCTGCAGCACGGGCGCTGCGGCTCGGGCGGCTGCGGCCCGGGCGGCTGCAGCACGGGCGGCCAGCTCACGGGCGGCTGCAGCACGGGCGGCTGGCGGCCCGGGCGGCTGCGGCGGCGGCGGCGGCGGCGGCGGCGCGGGCGTCGGCGGCGGAGTGAGTGCCTTAGCTGGCGAGCCCCGCGCCGCCGACCTGCGTGTGCGCCAGCATGAGGATGTCCTTCTTCTCCTTGGGGAAGCGCAGCTCGCGGCCGGCCAGGCGCGCCGCCTCCAACTCGCGCTCCGCCAGTCCCAGCTCGCGGCCCAGCGCGCCGGCGTTCTCGTGCTCGCGCGCGATCCAGTCCAGCGCCATCTGCGAGCGCATGTCGTCGTCCAGGGCGCGGTTCGAGTAGTGCGCCACCACCTGCGCACACACACAAGCGCGCCCTTCATTCGGGTACTTGCTCCGACATGCCCACAACAGGGGAACTGCATGCATGCAAATGCAGGGCCACTGGGGCCCTGCGCATTGCGCTCTCGGAAAACACACCCCAAAAACTGTTCTTAATAACGACGTTTCTTAAACATTTTCAGTAAGTCAACTGTCAATGTTAAATAAATGATTAATACACAATCATTTATATTTGCAATGACTTAAGATGCTAATGATAATGGTTACGGAGTGAAACTTTTTCAGTAGTGAACCCATCAAATCCATACGGACGTCGAGATTGCAAAGGAGACCTTGTGCTCTTGTCAGAAAAAAACAACACGTCGCTATAACTAACGGAGCCTTTTTTAGGGCATTTATTTTAGGAAGAGTCTTGCATCTCCTTGCAAGCACAGACATGTTACTTTTATGGATGCATACATTTGGAGAGTTCACCGGATACATTTTCCCCTCTATAACCACTCTCTCTAGCATTATAGATTACCTCAGAAGCAAAGGATTCATTATTAATGTACAAGTCAAGTAATAATAAAAATCGATAAGTTTAACTTTAAACAATCGAATTCCTGACTATTTTTTCATCCCCATTCATTCTTCCTGTACACATAGAGTTCAGTAACTAGAAATTTTCAGAACTCAAATGAGTTTTAATAACTCAGAGTTTATTGTTAGTAACTTTTCATACTCACTATAACTTTTTTTTACATAATAAAGACAGCCAAATATCACTGCATATGTAAATACCATCAATACTACAAATCCTTTCTCACGTCTCATTCTTTTCAATCATTATTTCCAGATGTTTGCTAATTTAGTTTCACTTTGGATTTATGTGTTTTTGGATAAACAATTTTAAAATTATAGTGTACAATACATCTTTTCAAGAAACAGCATTCAGAATAAACTTCATATAAATTGCTAAACGAAATGAAATGGACCAATTAATTCCGAGACTAATCACATTCAGAATTAACGTTTACTTTTCAAATTTAATATTTAGAATACGTCAAATCAGATTATATTTTATATATTTTCAGACTTTTAAAGGGAAGTGGGCTTATTTCTCACAAAGCCGTTTGAAAAAACAATAATAATTCCGAATTTAATGAAAATACAACTGCACAAATGTGTAGAATTCTACAAAAGAAAAGTGAGTATATTTTTCGCATAACGTTTCATAATTGCTGATACTTATAGGAAAATGCACTCGCGTCCTTCCCTCCTTATACGAATACTCACAAGAATAATGTCTTGATACTTGGAGAAAGCTTGAACAACGCGTGCATTACGAACTGACACATTCTTACTTTAAACAGGTTTGCGTCTCAGACATTTCACTAAGGAATGTCACCGATCCCTGAGCGCAGTCCTGAATGAAGACCGATAGTGAGCGCTGACAGCCGGGATAATCGCCTTCGGCCCCTTTCCGTAATGGGAAGAACAACGCATTGCCAGGAACTGGATTGCTAGCTTTCGTATTCCTGGAACGACTCGCTATGTTCCGAGAGAGCTCTTACCAATAAAGGAAAAGGTTCTGCCTGGGAACTGTGCGCGTGAGGCTATTGACAAACGCACGAGATTATCTCAGGAAAGAAATGACCACGCCAATTATTGGAGATTGCTTGTTATATAAACAGGTAACATTTCAATTCGATTCGACGGCTGCGAGACTTAGCGGCTTCACCATTGTCTCTACAGCATCGTTGACTAGTAGGTCTCAAGGTTCGAGTCTCGACGGTGGCGAATTTTTAATACTAGCTACTTAACTAGGAGAAATTCGAGTAATAACTTTTTCTAAAGTAAAGGTGAAATACGAAAACTAAAATTAATAACTCCAAAAAAATTGTAGTAGTGATCACAAATTTTTCTTTATGTCATTACTTGTCAGAAAGAGGAGGTTCAGTTAAAGCTTAGTGTGAAAGTACTTCAATAATTGAGTTTTTTAAATCAGTAATTTGCACTTCACCATTCCAATATAAAAACATGATTGCTAGTTTCAACATCGTCTTAATGATTCGTTTCCTAAAGAGGGGAGACACACACTTAATGATTTATTTTTATTTATTCTTTCACTTTCTCTCGCAGACTTTATAGGAAACATTTGATCACCTTTAGACATAAATTTCTTCTAAAAATTACTCAAAAAGAATGCCTTAAGTTTTGTTAGTGAAAAAAATGTTCTTTACAATATTCTTTGCGAACACTTTTTTAGACTTATCAGGAAAAAATGTTGTATACATATGAATAATCATTGAGTATACTATAATCAAACAGGGTATTATAACTGTCATCACTAAGTATAATATCACATTGGAACCACCGAAGCGATAGAATCATTTAATGATAAAATGAGGATGGAAACGATAATTTCAAGGGAGAGGTAAGAAAGGAGAATGGGTATCATGGAAGAACACAATAGACAAAAGAGGCGCGTCTTGTGAGCGAGTTATACATAAGAAATAATCATATTTTTGAGATTGTATTTCATTTTACTTCCCATACTTTTATAAGATTATCTCCTCTGTAAACGAGGGAATTTTATTATAATTCGATATATGTTTGAGAGAATGCGAACAGCTCATTTCAATTCTCGTGAAAGAAGTATAGCGTGAATATTAATATAAACCTAATTTAGGTGGAGCTTGTGACATTCAATATTAATTACTCCCCTTCTCCTAGAGATAGTTCTCCATTTACAAAGTTTGTTTTAAATGTGGTTATTAAATAATGCTTCAATAAATTACAATTAACATCTTTTTGTTTATGGATTTAGAAATAAGAAATTAAATGTATCAGGAATTAATATGAAAGATAATAATAAACAAATTATACACTGTTTACAGAAAAGGAAATTTATTTTCCTTTTATACTCGATCTAATAATGAATTATCTTTGTACTATGTGAAATAATAGGTAAAGGTTATCTATTGAATAGACAACATTTAAATTAACTTACGTGCGGATAAAGTTACGAAAAATGGAGACGTTTTAAATTTATAATGGCTTAGGCCGATATAATATAAATAGCATTCCTTTATATATATTAATTGGGAAATAATCACAGAAATGAAATAAACACAACACACATATGAAAAAAGTTTAAACAAAAATATTAGAATATTATTGAAATGAAAATTACTTTACTCGTTTTGTAACTACTTTCAAACCTTTCCCTGGATTATGTAAATAGTGAGAGGTAATATAATTTTGTTCTTAAACTAGTTTTAAGTGTTTTCTGAAACGTGTATGACTACAATTTAGTATTTGGAAGGCGGGCAAATGAGGTATTACATTCTATGTTCGTCCATTCTGTTGCCTTGCACGATCACGCCACACCGAAGATCCACGGAAGTGGGAATACTGTCGTCTCTTGTGTTTAAAAAGGAAAGGCTATAATAAAGATATTGAAAGGAAACCGTGATTTAAAGAAAAAGATCAGTTCTGTCAAAAGTCTGGAAAAGAAGAGTTAGAAAAGGAAATGCTTGTGGTCAATGCCGAACAGTTTCATGAAAACAAATTCTTATTATTTATTAGACTATTTTGGGCATTAAAATTCTGATTTTGTTTGGCGATTACGAATCTTTATGTTTACTAGTATATTAAAGGTCATAGCAATTGCAGAGAAGAAACCATTTAAGAAAAGAAATTAGTGAATGGAGATGAGTAAAAATAGATTAAACAATAAATTTAAGGGAACGCTGTAATATATTCTAGAGAAGAGAGGAGAGGAGAGAATAACAGGAGCAGTTTACCAAAAAAGAAATTTATTTTATCCGCAATGTTCTATTCAATAAACACTGCGAAGGAGTCCACTTCCTATGTCGTGAATGGCATAATTGAGGCGCTCAGAATAATAACAGCTATTCCAAAAAAAGTTGGTTTTGAGAAAAACTAGTTTTTCCGTTTTTCGTTCATCTAAATTCCGGACAAATTTTTTATGGTGGGATTTGAGACTTTTCCCATTTTCCAATTAATTTGATATTTCAGCATACGTTAGATACATGTTAGGAATTTACCGTCATACTTCTAACTGAAAATGTGCACCCCAAATGATAATAGGATCCTTAAGTCCCAAGTCCTTTTTCGGCTCAGTAAAAAGGGGAAGTTGCTCCGCGAATCGGGTGTGCGTCGGGAGGGTGAGGATGGTGCGGTAAGGAAAATCGTGGGTTGTCGGTGGCGGCTGCGCGCGCAGTAAAGGAACCGAGCGCGAACGATCGGTTCAACCGTTCGGATCCCCAGCGCTCGATCAGTGGCCGATCGGTGGCCTGCGTGCAAGTGCCCAGTAGTGATGCGACATCGATCGCAAAACATCGATGTTAACAAACATTAAATTCACATGTGGGTGATCTGGGCTGTCCGGGTGACGCCGCGTCGAAGGCTGAGTTGCCGACGTTTTGACCATCCTGTCGTGGTCTTCCTCAGGCCTCAGGCGCATACCAGCCCTGAGGAAGACCACGACAGGATGGTCGAAACGTCGGCAACTCAGCCTTCGACGCGGCGTCACCCGGACAGCCCAGATCACCCACATGACTCTGGTCGCGGAAGCCTACGACTTCATTAAATTCACATGCATTAAAATTTAATTTGACAGTGTTCGTGTTTATCAATTCGTCGAATAAGGGCACGAGAAGGGGTAGACCCTACATCCACAGCGTATTTGTTGACAATCTCAATGTGCGAAATGAATATGAAGAAAAAGGAAATTCAAGGGCATTGAGGTCATCTCGAGCGAAAGAGTTTGGTGGATGAAGGTAGTGCAAATAGCGTTCCTTTGGTTCCAACATATGAATAACTGTGTTACTATCTATTATTCATTCTTATTTAGAGATATATAGATAGTAACACTTGAATAACAATGTTAATATCTGTATTTCAATCTTCAGTTATTATTTCTTATTTTAAATTTTACAGTATTGTTATAATGGACATTTTTAATTCGGAAACAAAACGTCGGAAAAGACAGAAACATGGATGAGGCATGCCTAGTGCCCAGTGCAAGCAGCCGGTCGCGAGCGTCGTACCTCCTGGCGCGAGCACTGCCGCTCGCGCATCGCCTTGAGGCTGCCGTTCCAGTGGAGCAGCTGGAACACCGTCATCAGCTCCTGGAACTCCAGCATGGTGCGCCCCTTGTTCGTCTCCAGCATGAAGCGGAACGCGCCGATGCCGGTGTTGGGGTTGTCCGCTTCCTCGGGGTCTCCCTGCAAAAGCACACGCGAGTCAGCGTGGGAACGCGCAATGTCCCAAGCAATGTTCATTAGGGCTACGACAAAAAGATATTGATTTTTAACCCGTTAATGAGGAATTCTTTTGGAATTTAAATTTACTCTTTGATTCAGTAGATGTTTCAAACACTTTCAACAATTTATTTAGTAGTTACGAAGGTTTAAGGCTCGAAAATGTTTTTACGTGTTTTATTGCATTTTTATCAGATTCACACCTCATCCCAAGTAACGCCCTAAGAAAGTATTTTTGTTAGAACTTCTTTAAATAAATCATATTCCTTTTTTATCATTTATACGCTTTTAAGCAATGAGGCTATCTCACGCTTTTCATTAAATTATACAAATGATTTACATTGGAATATTAAATACAATTTGTTAAATGCAATAATTTTAATAAGTTGCATTTCAATAATTTTGAGTTTTTCATTGACAAAATAAATTTGGCAACGAGGACAGTATTTCATAACAAAATTTAGTATCAAGTGAACACTATTTTGTTGTAAAATTTCCAGATTAATACACTCTTAAAAATCTCTAAATATTGACATTTTCAACTTTTTTAGTGATTGATTGTTGGTGATTCCGGGAGCATCAACTACTCAGGACATTAGTCGCATACGTGTAGTGCATGTTTTGCTCGGGAGGTGGCGGAGATATTCCCCCGCTGTACGGCAAGATCCGACGCCGACCTACCGTCGGCTAGCGGGGGTTTCTTTAACCAGGTATCTCCCACCAGCCACCAGGTATCTCCCACCACCGTCCCAGCCATGATAAGCTCTAAGATCCCGACCGGTCTCCCGGCATGTGCAGTAGTGTAGTGCATGTGAGTAAGTGTGTGAAGATAGGTCAAGGAGGGGACCGTGGTCCGTGGCCCGTTTGTTAGGGTACTGGTCCTGCATTCGCCGGATGTTGATCGGAGAAACCACTGAAATCTACCGATCAGAGCTGCCGGCCGCTAGAATTCTCCTCCATACAACGAATTAATTCGACCTAGCCGAAAAGCCAGTGTCGAAAATCCTACAGGACTCGAACCTAGAACCTCCCGGTCAGAGGGACCGCAGTGACATCAGTTGATACCCAGAGCCATCTCTCCCGGTTTAAATGTTTCCGTTAACTCCATTTGAAAACACAATCCATCACAAGGATATTTCACCGCAAACCGGCAGCTCGTACCCTTGACCCAACCCAACACCACTCCTCCCTTTCGATAGAACGCCTTATCACCCAAGGACGAAACGCCTTTGTCTGGCGCCCCGTGCGTCTTCCGGAGTGTCCGCGAGGGCCGGCCGGAGCTTCCGGGCCACGCGCCCGGAGGCGCGTCCGATAACGCGCGAACGCGTGCTGCGGCGCGGCGCGGCGCGGCGGCGCGCGGGCGCGCGGAGATAGTCGTGGGGGCTTTACAGCGCCGTAAATCCCCGCGCCGGATCGGGAGCTGTCGCGCGGTGCCCGGACAACCGCTACCGCTGCCGATAAGCCGCCTGCGCCGGCCCCCGGCCCACCGACGCGCGCACCGGAACACTATGGAGGCGCGGCCACGAAACGCCGGGCAAAATACCACGGTGCGAATTGGAAATCTTCTGCAGGGGGACGTTCAGGACGTAAAGAATAAAAGAAAGTTTGATATGAATCCGAGATGACACGTCGAAACGACCTACTCGAAAAGTTACGCCAACCACCATGGTGCTAAGTGAACATTTTCTCCAAGAGGACGTTCAAGACGTTAAAAAATAAAAGTGCTAGAAGTTGCAATACCGTTTTATGTCTGTATACTTCTAAAATATTGAAATATATTCTCAAAGACAATATTTATTTTATATCAATAGAATAAATATTTTCTGTGAAAAGTGGTTTCAATTTTTTACGAGAGGAAGAGGTGACAGCAAAACGAGCGTTTTGATTTTTTTACTAACTGTACGTGTGATGAAGAATGAACACACTTGCAGCCTTCTTGTTATCTTGAAGGTAGGTCCCGTGCCAAATGCAACTGGAACAATATACTTCCTCATATTTACAAACCGTAAATTTTCTTTTACATTTTCCTTGATTTAGGTTCCTTGTTTAGGACATTTGAAAGTGTGAAAGTCAAAAATGAGGTTCCTAGAAGTGTATTACGATAATGGTGGTCCTTTCAGGGAGAAATTTTACATTTCCGTCCAGTCATAAATGTAACATCTACCCTCAATTTTTGCAATTGACACATTCGGGTATAGGAAATGTCTTTTGACATTTTGCGAAAGAAAAATTATTGATTTACCACAACTTTATTGTAATTAAGATGTAAAGACTCTCTTTATATATTAGTCTTAGAGTCCATAACAAATGACAATGAAAATGCATACATACTTTACGTGAAGTGTCGGTTACAGTACCATTATTTGCGTAGGCCTCAATTGTAATTAATTAATTAATTATTATTTGTATTACTATTATTATTGTTATTTTGTTACTATTATTATCTTCTTCTTCATCATCATCATTATCATCATCAAGAGGAATATCCAGCCCTCTGGGGAGGGAGAGCGACCCCAGCAACCTCCCTTTCCCCTGTCAACTTTACAAAATACTGACATTCGAATAACGTTGGTCAATTGGATAGAAACAAGTAGTCGGGAGTTTATGAAGTTGCTGATGACAAGATGAAGTCGAAGTACCAAAAATTGAAATAACTGATTCACGTTACAGTGAAATACAATTTTGAAAGAATTCCAAAAACTTACGCGAAAATGAGGGAGTTGCTGAATATCGTCGAAAATAGTACAAGACTGATTACAATTTGCAGAGTGTCCAATATGAACTCTTCCAGTAACCGAGAATCCTACCTTCGAACCTAAAATGAAAATAAAGTTGTTGATGCCACTTAAAATAAACGACAAAAGTGAAAAATTATATATTTTACTTTCACCAGTTAATTTCTCCAAAACCTCAAAATATAAACTGGATTTTCAACCTCTTTTGGGCACCTAGTCCCTCTAAGCACCGTCCCTTAGCGCGCGTCTATTTTGCTGAAAGGTCCGAAGCGAGGCTCACCAGTCGAAGACTCTCCAATCTGGGTAGAAATCAAGAATTTTCCACACATTGAAACTAGTGCACTTCTTGAAAAATAATCGTGTTTCAGAACCAGCGTGTAAAACGAGAGCTTTATACCAATCCAGCTATTTGGAGAACACTGAAATATGATCATATAACATTTTAAAATGAATTAAATAGTATATATCTTGCAGTCTTTGTACACATAGAAATAATTTATTCACGGTTTTTAGTTAACACACATACACCTACCCATACATACACACACATAATATAGTATATTTCGTCATTCGGTAAAATTTTACACAATGCAAAGTGTATGACGACAAATATTGCTAAAAAACTGACAACTCAAATGTAGTCATTTTTTAAAGTGACGTTATACTACAAAAGTAATATTTTTTACAATACAGAAAACATTTAAAGAATATAGATCGCAAGATAATCGGTTTATGAGACAGTTTCAAAAATACATTCACTTTTGTAGGGAGAAGAGGAAGATCCTACACCTGTGACAAAAGCAAAGAGAGTGATGAAAAACTAACGTTCTCGCAACATGTTTGAGATCAATACTACATTATTATCTTTCAACTGAAATATGTATATTTCCCCCAAAAAGGAACATTGATCTCAGGAGAAAGGTGTTATGCAATTGTACAAGTTGTTACAAAGGAGAGTAGGGGTTTAAGGAAAGCCTAACATTGCAAGCGTATTTTCTAAATGGCTCCATGCGAATAAAAATACTTTGGCGGATAAAAATAAACGGTTCCGCTTACAATAAAACCATTCCCATGCAAACCGACAATTTTCTCCAGGGCGACATTCAAAAATTAAGAGGAAATAAGTGAGCAATCGGAGGTGACGTGACGAAATCGCAGTTTCAATTTACCTTTTCTTCACCAACTTTCATGAATAATATGCAGACATGAAGCCTTTTATTGTTACCTTGAAAATAGGACCGACGCAAATAGGCCAATAAACATTCCCATTTTTACCAATGAACATTTTTGTTTTTCGTAATCCTCGTTTTGGATATTTGGAGGTATGAACATCTTCAATGAGACACCTATCAATGGATTATGGGGGAGATAATGATTATTCGCGTCCGTGGGCAATTCGTGGGTAGTCCGAGGACGGTTTGTTAGGGTACTGCTCCGGCATTCGCCTTGTGATGATCGAAGAAAACTGCCGATCAGAGGAAGCGGCCATCAATTATCTTTCAGATTGCGACTGAATACAGCCCAGTTATTTTGCTATCGTGCACAAGCACTCACATCGGGACTCAAGGACCTCCTAGAGAGCGACGCTGTAACGGCAACGGATGTCACTGAGCCATGAAAGCCGGAAGAAACGGAATATGATAATTTTGACCCAGCGAGGGGCAAATTACGAGTAATTCTTTCCCAGAAGGCGCATCCCATTCTCGAGGAAGTGGGAGACTATTCCTACACCCCTCCAATTCGCACTCTGCCCCTCGAACCAGCTCTACTAACTAGATCAGTGATGGGAGACGCATTTTCGACGACTTCTGCTGCCTGCGCACTGTGCGGGCCACAGCTCCCTCCACGTCTGCGGCCACACGCAGGGGCCATGTCGAGCCCGCTCTTTCGGGAAGATGTGCTTTACGACTCAGATACCGCGGGCGATCGACTAGAACAAGGGATGTATTACACGCCCCTTAAGTGCTGGGACCAGACATCGCCATGCCCCACTGTTAGAAGAAACAAACGAATTTACGATGGCTGGAATCTGGAAACAATTCCAAGGATGACCTCGAAAGGGCTGAGCGTTCAAACGGGAATGTTCTTTAAGTTTGGTATGAGTGGGAGAGGCAGCGCCCTTAGCACTTCATTTCCTCTCTCTGATGAAAAGTAATGATAATGAGAGGTGTTACAACCGAATTGCCAGAAGATGAAAGCTTCGAGAGGCAATTAGGGATTTGAGGTCTGACGAGCAGTGTTACATTTCAAAGAGTCCAGGAAATCGCTAGACATTGTATCTATACT